TGTTCACTACATTTGGGAGCTGTTCCGGGAATTTTATAACCCAAGATCTCTTGAATTCGACGTTGGATTCGCACCTACAGAACCATTGAGGAAAGTGCTCCCCAGAGTCTAGGAAGACATTTCCCGTTCCAGGCGACGAGATATTCTGCCCAACTTACAACCGCTGATCACTGCATCGGATACAATGCAGGGAGTCATGGAATGCAGGCTACAAGTACTCCCCACAAGCATGAAGTTAAGCTAGTCCCCGAAGATGGGGACACTATGAGAGCCTTATAGCAATCAATGGAGATAGAACACAAGAAAGCATATATACCTCGTGAAGAAGGGGGGCGTGCGATACGCAGATACTTGGTAGGAAAGGCAGTAGATTATTGGTATCATCTAAGAGCCTCTGGAGTTGACTTGGATAACTGGGGGGAGGTTGGAGGATAAACGCTTGCAAGATTTTGTGGGGTATTGAGAGATGTGTTGAGGATCCGATTAGCAAGCATACGGTGGAAGGGTAATCCGGTAAGGTATGCCGCCAAATTTTCGTTGGAGTTGAGCCAGAGTGAACCCTTAACACAGGAGGTCTCGTCATGAGTACTTAAATCCAATTTACCTGATGACGTTCTATTAGCTCTAAGTAAGAGAACCTTTGGGACCTGGCAAAATGCTGCTAGGGTGTTGAAGAAATTCGTAGGAACTAGAGGGAGAACACCAGACGACGCGAGACAATGCAGAATAGTGATACAACAAATGCGACAGTGAAGGAGAGCATACCATGATGAGAAGCGAGAAGGCGGAAAAAAGGCGACTCCCACACCACGACGTCACCCGCGAGGTAGCCGTTGTGACGAATATAAGGGCAAGAAACGTACTGCCCGACAGTGCCCTTCGCGTAACAAGGCCTAGCGGAGAAATGCAGAAATATGTAAGAAGTGTGGATGTGTGATTCACTACGCTAGAGACTGTCCAACATATGCCCGAAGAAACATAGAGACAAGGGAAAAGCCTAGTAGACAGCCAACACGTTCTGGCAGCGATGGAACTGAGCGTTTAAACGGGAGAGCCTAGGCGTTAGGGGAGACGAAAGCACTAGGCAGTTGAATCGTGGTAAAGGGATGATGCGCGCAGTCCGCAGATGAGTTACTGCCATTCCAATCTCCGCCGAATAGGGAAGGAAGTTGATTTGTGTGAGGAATATACCTAAGGCAGGGCCTGAGGAACCAGAGATATACCAGCCGCCGTTAGCGGAGCAGAGTGAGGCGAAGACCGCAGGGGGACGAGATGAGACAAGGTGTACGCTGCGAAGCAGCTGCGAAGAGCATGCAGAGATGTCAGAAGAGGGCTATGTGCAAGAGGTGCTTGATGCAGAATCGCCTTGCAAGTAGAAGTACATCCACCAGTACCAGCATCGG